ATTTATTAATATGAGGCTTGATACACTGTGTGGTGTTAAATATCCTTTCTACAAGACAAAAGCTCAGTCAGAACAGTATTATCACCATTCACCTCTTAAAGCTGGATGCTGAAAGCAAAGTAAGATTATCTCTGTCTGGTCTGAGGTTTTATTAGCAATGGAATCCACAGAGATTCCTGCAAGTACTTTAGGCTCAACTAGTGCCTGTTCTCTGAGGTCCTCAGTGGTCTCAGAAATTAAGTAATCCTCCTAATATTTCTCTATTAACTTGGTGTATATTATAGAATATATTTGGTATACTCTTGGACAAGGTGGAAAACCTGGCTCTGACAGCACGTGCATGAGTGATCATGGGGACAGCTCTTTGAAGCAGGTACTTTGTTGCTGTGTTAGCTGTAGAGTGAGCCCCAAAGTCCAGAAGTCTTCTCTGTGTGCCTGTTCTTGGATCAGCACTCTTCCCCAGTTACTGGAGGATTTAGGAAATGAAAGGAAATGGGGCACTCATAGTCATGACTGTGAAAATAGCAGGAGTTGTCAAGAACCATGAGTGAACACTCCTCAGAGGACTGCACAGTAATGGCCAGCATGACACAGGCACATTCTAGAGCAGCTTATGACCTCTCCATTCATGAAAAGATAAAGTGACTAAAGCAGATGAAGTTAAGGAACGTTTGAATATCGTCATCTTTGATCATCAGCAGATCTGGGAAAGTTTAGAACAGCAAACTGAGATTATTTTCTTGCAAAGGGCATGAAAACTGGCAGAGCTCCCGATGCAGTAAAAGGCTGTGCAGCCCTTGGATTTTCAGCACATGAAATTCAATGCATATTCAGTCTTTGCTGGATTGGCACAATGGCACTGAGAGGTTAAAGGACTATTCACAAACTCTTCCTTCTTCAATCCTTTGAAAAAGTGAAATATATTTTCTCTTACACAACATTTTGATTGATACTCCACATAATTTCCTGCAAAATCTTGCTGGTATTGCTCACCAGACTCATAATCTGACCCTCTGTATTAGTCTTACACAGACATTAACAAGACTTTTGCAGCTGGAAGAGACAGGTGCATTTGAGGTTAATGCTGAATTTATTGCCTCATTGTCTTTCCAAGTCTACCAGTAGGAAAAGAGCAGTAAAGACATCTATTCTGTTTTTCTTCACTAAAAATAACTCTCAGTTTTAAACAATTTTTTTTTCCATCCTGAGGGTACAATGTGAGACAGTCTTGAAATATTTCAGAACTTACTGAACAAATATGTCCTTACTCTACCCTTCAAAACATCCACAAATGTTTTAACCCCCTGTGTTTTTCTTGACATATCTTGGCCTACTCACATACAGAAACAGGAGGTTTAACAAATTATCTTTATTTCTGTGAGCTCCATTGTAAACAAGGTAATCACACTATTGGTGATTCAGATTATCCTGATTTCTGAATACAGTCTAGCACCACATTACACATGAAAAGAGAATGTCTGAAAGTCTGTATGCATGGATCCAAATTTTTCAGCTGCAGGTGATACTAAGCTTTAAAAGAGAATAAAAATCTGTGTACAAAGGTAGAGCTGATCACAGTGTAAGGCATTTCCTGGCAGCCTGGCAAACAAAAATACAATTATGGGATGAATATTTTCTGCTAAGTTAAAACCAGCCTGAAAACTTGCTTATAAAATTGAATGGCTGTCTTCCTTGCCTGTTGTGTGGAATAAAGTGCATTAGTATTAGTTTTATTTTGCACCACTATTATTATATTGCACATGATGCTTGAACAGATGTCATAGAGTCATCAGTCATAACACTTTACACCTTGTATGTGTTTCTGAAAATTTCTGAGTTTAAATTTTCAGTAAGCCTGAGGAATCAAAACTGGGTAGGCCACAACAGTCATGAGGCTTTGCATCAGGAGATCTAGAAGAGTATTGTTGGGCTCCCCATGAGTTTTTTCTGGAGTTTGTGTTCTGCCTAGCAAGGAGGAGGAATTTAAATGAACCCTTTCCCTTTTTTTCTTTTTTTCTTTTTCTTTTTTTTTCTTTTTCTTTTTATTGAAAGCTGAGACAAATAAGCAAAAAACTGAAGCTTTAAATAACTAAAATGTCATAGGATAAGTCCTGGACTGTGTGGACATGACAGCACTAAGTCAAACAAGCTTGCTATTGTTTTGTACAGACATCTCCCTATTTTTTTAATTTTTTTTTAAATAAGGGCCAGATTGTGTTTTGCACATCCAAACCCATATTGAATTGTGGGGAAAGATCCATCAAATCATTTCCATTCTTTCCTGTAGTCAGAGCTGCAAAGGGAAACCAAAAGATGTTGTAGGAGTGTCAAGTGGTTTTGCTTGTTTTGCAGTGTTGTGGTCATTGACAGTCCATGGTCAAGGAGAGGTGCAGAGGAGCCCTTAGGGTGCCTGCTGTAGTTCAGTTTCTTTCCTTGATTTCAGAGTGCATTTTCACTTCAAAACAAGAATTTAAAACCCTCAAAACAGATAAGATGTTTTTTGGAGAGCAGTCCTAAGTGTCTAACTCCTAGCTTGTTCATGGGTATGCCCAGTGCTGGCTGTGCCTGGTGAACATGAGCTGTGGGAGGGAGAAGGAATCATCCAGGCACCTGGGAGAGCCCAGTTCTGACAATGTTTGGGGATAGCAATTTCACATTTTGATTTGTACTTGAGTTTTAAATTAATCAGTATTAATTATGACTTGGACAATTCAGCTCTGCACAGGAGCAATCTTAAAAAAATGTCCTCTTTTTAGAGTCTATGTACTTATATTTTGACCTGGCAAAAAGAAAAGGCAGAATAAGCAATATTTCTACTTTTTTAGCATGTGTGCTCAGATTTTCAGCTTAAATCATACTTGCAACACTCAGCTGCAGTGTATCTGTTTGGTTAACTTGAGCAGAAGCCTCAGAGCTCTTGCTTTATAGACTCTGGACAGACCATTAAAAATAAATGGTGTGTCCTTGAAGTCATTTATAATCTATATAGACTAACACAGAGCAGAAGAATAATGTCTTACAAATAACTGTTTTAACCTTTACTTTGTGATTTTAAAAATGATCTTCATGATACCTACAGAGAGGCAGTAACTGATGACCTCTCACTCTCCCATGTAGTGTGGTAGTGGAGACAGGTAATGCTTTCTGGCTGGGTGGCTCAAACAAGATGCTTTAGAGACCTTCCAAAAGGCTGGTGAAAGAAATGTGAATCTTTATGGCCATGGATTTTGGTATACATTGGAACTGATCTCCTAAAATTCCATGGCACCTTTTGTAATCTTGACTTGGACATGCATGTGAGCACTGAAAGCTGGTGGGGGTCTTCTGGCATGGTCCCTCTCTGAGTGGTTTCCTGTGTTGATGCTGCCTTCATGCTGGTTTATTTTTCAAATGCCTCTTCAAACCTATTCACTCTTCTTCTTTTTAAGTTTTTTAAAGAATTTTTTTACTTGTAGAAGTTCAATGATAAATTATCTCACAGAGGTTGCTCCTCTCATTATTTTTATTGATTTATGTCTATTCATAGCAGAAGTTATTCATGGCAACAGCATTCTAGATTGATTCAACAGAAGGCTATCAAATACACTCTAATGAAAAAGCTAGCCTGACATTTCATCACTTAAACTTGCATTTAACTCTTAGGCATGAGTAGTCCCACAGGCTGTCCACTGGAGGAACTTGTGTTATCTGAGCTGAAAGCTGGAGGTTAAAATACTGTACAAACTAAGCAATGTATTAAAGACAGAAATAGGAACAGAAGGCTATAGGAGCCTTGTTCCAGAGATGTGTTTTTTAGTTAACAGAGAATTATTGTGTTCCATGCATTTTTAGCCTGGAGTGAAATTAAAGGATTATCAATGGGGATTGGAACTAGATGACTTTTGAGGCCCCTTCCAACCCAAACTATTCTGTGATTCTATGATGGAAACATTAACAGGGAGGAATCCAGGCCAAATTAAAGTCAATGGGAATTTTTACATTCATCAAGATGGCCAGGATTGCACACATAATCTAAATGCAGATGCCTGGAAGAACATGGGAAGCAGACACAAGTTCAGCAATGACACAGGCCAGACACAATGATTGCTGTGATGTTGCCTTCCAGTGAGCTGCCTAGCAGCAGTGAAACCCTGATAAAAAACATCTTTCAGAAAGTGCTTTCTGCAGCACTTTTTCTGTACTTGTGTATAAGTCAATATGCTGTTTAGAAAGGAAGGCTAGAGAAAAGTGCCTTGGTCTTGCAGTGATGGTGACTCCTGACAATGCTGTAGAAATTAAAGAAATTGAAGCTGAAATACTTGAAGTTAGCTGGAGGATAAAGGGTTCTGTGGGGGCTCTTGTGCAGTTCATAATCAGTGCTGAAAAACCATGGAAAAAGACATTTTGGCTAAATGTATGTGTAAATGTACTAGTGTACAGTATGAAAATTGTACACTAATATTAGTTATTTCCACCTTTCTAAAATAGATAAGGATGGGAGACTAATCTAAGAACCAAGGGGGAGGAAAAATTGTTTCATATTATCTTGTAGATCTTCTCCAAGTTGCATAGACATTTGGGAGAAAACTGCTATCTCTAAAGGAAGATTTTTCAGAGCTCAAAAGCTGATATTGTATTTCTGTTCATAGGTAGGAGTATGAGTTTCAGTGCGAAACAAAGTTCAGAAATTTATCTTCTATGATTATGATATGCACAAATTTCTTCTAACATGTCATAAGGAATAATAGTATTGATGAAAGTAGATGTCTGATTCTGAAGGATTAACAAAAAAACCTGTTCTTGCAGGTTTTAGATTTTATAGGTTTATATTGATATTTTCTCCTCTCAGTTATAGAATATCCTGGTTTTTAAATTAAACTACTAATAGATGTTTTGGGGTAGCACCTGTTGTTCCAGTGCCTCACTTGCACCTGATCAAGTGTTTCTTTCATTCAGTGAGAGAAGAGCTGAATACAATTTAATCAGTGGCCCTGTCAACCTGCACCAGCTGAGGATTTGCCTGAAAACAGGTGAGGTCCTCATTGTCCCATTTGCTGTATCTATCCCTAGAAAGGGCTACTTTTTGGGAAGTGTCTTTGAGAGCCTTTATCAGCAGGGTAAAGGGTGAGTGCTCTTTCTAATTTAAAGATTATTTTTGTTTTATGGTACAAAGCAAGCTGCTAAAATGTATTCTCTAGGGACCTGGGTCAAGAACAGGTCAATGAAGAAATCATGCAAGTGCATTTCAGATCTTTTCTCTTTCTGCTTTCCATAAACAAGGCTATTGTACAAGTTTTACCCTTGTTCATCCTCTTTTTTTAATATTTTACTAGCATATTTTGTTCCTGAAAACTTTTCCATACTGCTACTAGGTGCCAAGTGATGGCAGGGGTGGGAATTGCCATGCAAAACTTCTGGTACACAACTATGACAATAAATAGGTTTACCAGGTCAACTCCAACCTCTAATGCTTCTGGAAACATGAGAGTTCTGCTTCTCTGTGGAATGCAGAAGGCTCACTTACAAGAGCACAGTTTTGAGCCCACAAGTCTGAGTGGGTTTGAAAGGTGTGCAGCTGACCCCTCTCGGTCCTGATGAAAACACGTGTCTGGCAGCACTGGAATTCCTGCTGTAAAATAACCCTGCTCTTTGAGGGTTGTTGACTCTAATGATTCCCTGGACCCCTTTTTTCTTTCCTGATTTTTTGTTACCACAAGAGCCAGTGACAGACATATGTTCCACCTCTGTTTTACTTCCTGCTTCTTTTTTTGATCATTTTGAATGCTTAGTTTAAGGCATCTCATACAGCTCAGCAAATGACCTAATTTTAATGACTCATTTCAGTTTTGGCATCCTCCTCCTTACCAGCAGACCATCCGATCCCTCAGAATTGCCTATTTCATAAACTTTGCCTTCTACACTTATTTAGCCCAAAGTAAATGTAAATTATTTTTACAAAAACATTTGTATTGTTGAAGATGTCCTTCTACCACCTAGAAAAATATTCAGCTTCACCTGTAACTTATTAACTTTCTCACTTAGCTTCTGGTGCATTCATTTTTCATGGTTCAAAAGACCTGTCGTTCTGCCTCAACTTAAGCAAAAGACCTGTCGTTCTGCCTGCAAGCTTGAAGCATTATCCCATTATCACTAGGGATCAATATGTAATTTTACCTCCAAAAATACTTTTCAGAGATCTGTTTTTCCCATGGCTACTCCTGTGTATGCTCTTAATTATAGTCATGACTAATTCTAACAAGTTGGACAATATTAATTCCGTATTGCTATGAAATATCTTTCCCAGCTGATTTAGAAAATTGGGTCTCTTTAGCTATAGCTGTTCAGGTGAAGCATTTAAAGGCACACAGCTGTAGTTGTATGCAATTACAAAGTCTCAGGTTTAAGCTGTTAGTACACATTACTGGAGACAGCTTGGGATAGCCATGTAAAAAACCTGAAGGCACTCTGCTTTATAATATCAAATTTGTATGATTCCTTCTCTAGTTCTTGTCATATCTTTACTTGAAATTCTAGAAAAAGATGAATAACTCGTTTGAATCTGCCTGCTATTTGGCATGCCTGAAGCTGCAGCTCTGGACTGAAATTTAGGAATTTCTGGCCAGAAATTCAGATTTTAAAACTGCAAATGTCAAGGCTGGATCTAGGTCCTAAATAACAGCAAAATCTACGGGTTGTTAGATTTGAAAGCCTGGCTTATGGTTGTCTACTCCTTGGGATCCTGCATTTAGATAAAATCTGTCCTGTAAATAATAATATTTCTGAAGACATTCATGAGGGAGACAAACAATATTTTTTTGGTACTCAGCAGGTTGAAATAAAACAACCCTTAGCTCTTTTCCAGTCAGGAAGAGGTAGCTGTGACAGAGACATGTAATGCTATTTCATGCCCTTGACAGGCTGCTCCTCGGGAAAGAGCAGCAGGGCCTTTGCTTGTCTGCTCCAAGGAGCTGCTTCCCTCCATGGGCACAAGTCAAGGGCTGTCATCTCACTCCTCTTTTCCACCACTGTAAAACAGAATTGTCTCAACCACCTGAGCTAACAGCCCAGCCAGGGGTCCTGCAGCCACAGAGCCCCCACCACCAGCTGCTGCTGACAGGCTGCTTCACCTCCCCAAAATCGGCTTTAACTGAATTTCTAGCAACCTGAAAAGTCACAGCTATGAGCACCCCAAAGAGCATGGTAAAATGGCAAACATTTTACAATCCTACGGTCTGAAATAACTGGAAAAAAATAAACTTGTTACTTAGCTTTTTATCTCTGTGTGTATTTTTTTATTATTTAATTTACTCTGTTCATCTTCTGCTTATACTGTACAGTGGCATAACAAAACCAGTTTTTCTATCTTTAAACCCTTAAGGAAGAAAGTATGAAGATATGATTGTTACAATAGATTTTTCAGGCTTCTTTTTTACTGGTGTGGGAAGAATTCTTTGTGACAGCAGATTTAGGGAAGAGAAAAGAGGCAGGAAAAGGGATAAGTGCTGATGAGATTGATTGTTGCTACTGAACAGTAAAAAACTGGGCTTGAGGATGGGAGAGAGAAGCCGTGTTCTGGACAAACCTTGAATATTGCTCTGCTAAAAAACAGAAAACATAAATTAATCCTGGGTTTGGTTTTAGGTTCGTGACTTGTAAAGAATAAATGCAAAATTTTATGTTTTTTCCTTTCCATACATGACAAGCTGAAGCTTAAGTATTCCCTCTTATGCCTTTAAATAATTCAGGCTTGTCTCTGGGGGGAATATAGCAGATGTGCTACGGTCCCTGTGCTCGCCATGGCGATGTTCTCCAGAGCGTTGTGAGCTGACAGGGATGCAGTGCCCATCTCTGCCGTGCTACCAGAGCTGTTTATCTGTCAGGATGAGCACTGGGGCTGCTGTGCCTCTGCTCCTGCTCTGGGGCCCGCAGACCCACACAGGTGCTCTGTGTGCAGCAGTGATGCACAGACACATCGTGGCCTCTGTGCCAGCAAATCCCTCCCCAGGGGACATTTTATATCTTTCACTGGCTGCATCAATTGCACTCTGAGCTTTTTATGACATTTTCATGTCTGCCTTCTCTTCCGCCTTCTTTGCTCTGTGCCCCATTTTTCATGAAAGCAAATTCCTCCCCTCGCTCTCCTGATCCTTGAAAAAAAAAAAAAAAAAAATCATTTTTATATAATTTGCTTCTTATATTTTCTCTTCAGTACCTGCGGCAGCTGCTTTGCAGGTCCCCTGCTGTGCAAATCGCCCTTCACAGAGGAAGATCTTCCTGTCAGTGACTGACAAGAGGTGCCAGGAGCAGGCTACCAGACTTTTGAAACCTGTGAGTTGGCAAATCAGCAGGTACCTGTGTGCAGTTCTGGATACGCCCCTAGCATTAGTTCCCAACTCGAATCAAAGAGTTTTTAGCATGATATGGCCCACAGGCAGAGATTCAGGTTAAAAGGAACACAGTGCCTGGCTGCATCTATCATCTAGAGGTTTTTTTTGTTTTAAATATAATGACACCAGCGATTTGTTCTTGGGGAGGATTTTGACTTGTGTTTTGTTGTTGCTTTTTTTGTTTGTTTGTTGTGAGGTGTTTTTTTGTTTTGTTTTTATTTTATAGGAACTGTGTTTACAACAACTTTAAACAAGGAGAAAATATTCTTAGTACTAAACAGCTCCTGTTTTTCTTCTCCAAAGAAATAAAGATGCCTTTTATATTTTCTGAGACTGACAATGTTGAAGAGGCTCGGATACATGGTAAATTGAAGGAAAGAAGGAAGAGACTTGCTGTAACTACCATTTTCTTTAGGGGAAGATATGGGATTTTTAGGTGGGACTGGGAGAGCCCCGGACAGCCCTCTCTCCTTGATGTACAGTTGAAGGCAAAGGGTCTGGAGGGGTTTGGAAACCTGGTTTAGTTACTGAACCATCTTAAAGAGGTTTAAAATCAGTCCTAAGTGAAAGCACTTTGCAGAAGAAGGTGTAGCTTTCAGGCAAAACAACACTTGAATCAAATGCAGAATAAATAGCCTGAGTAAAGGACACAGAATTTGGTCCACTGTGATCATTTGATCTGAGTGGCTTAAGGCTTTGCATGCTTCATACTTGCAAACCAGCTGTGAAATGCAGGAAATACAAGTAGCTGTGGTCTGACATTTCCCCATCTGTTCCTAATATTTAATAATTTGCTCTCTTCTCTGAGCATATTAAGTTTATTTATAAATTTAAAAAATATGTTTTATTTTATATAATGAGCTTAAAGCTATAATGGCCTTTTTGCTCCAAAGTGCTCAAAGCACCCTCCTTTGCCAGAGGGAGGGTATTAGTTTTTCTGGAGGAATTTATGCATAAGGTACAGATGGACAAGACACAGTTTTAGCACACCAGGCTTTTGCCTTGCTGTTCTGTCTGTGTTTCTAGTCTCTAGAGCTTCTGTGCACTGAATGTTTTGAAAGGCCCAAATTCTTTTTCACTTTGCTCTGAGGATGATGGAGAGTGAGAAGTAAACTCTCACAGATGAGATCAGTGCTTTATCAGCCATAAAAAAACCCCTTCTCTTTGAAAAGCTTGCTAAGAATTATCCTCACCATCAGTATGAATTTTGCTGTTGAGCTGAACAGTGCTAAACACAACTAAACCAAACTTCAGCTAACAGCAGCTTTTCAAATATTTCAGGAAAGTCTTGTTTACACATATGAGATTATAAATTATATGGAGAAAGAAAAGATACTAGATCTAAATGCTCATAGACACAAAAAGTGACACAACATGAGCTCTAGATTTATGCTGATAGTTCCTCATTTTACCAAATGCTGCATCCATGCACATTTTGGGAGTGGGAGGTGGTACTTCCAGACTGTATGCCCCAGAATGCTACACTAAAACTGATCTAAATAACTCTCTGGCCTCTGCGCTACATCTGTTGGTTTCTACAGCAGCTTCAAGTCTTTTCATTCTGTAGCAATTATCATTTTGAGGATGTTTCAAACTGAAACCTAAGTATCTGAAATCAGAATATGCCACAAGCTGCTCCTGCACCTACTGATTTTTATGTATCAGTCCAGTGAAGTGAATGAAAATCTTTGTCTACACAAAGATTGAATCTGTTTAGGCTCCTATAAATTTTCTGATTATTACATAAAGAATATTCTAATAAATCTATAGAAAACATAAAATAATTAAAAATGTATGGATTTCTCTTGCAACAGGTGTCAAAAGAAATTTTCACCAAGTGGCATTTTCCAGGAATGGCATGCATCAGTGTGGAAACTGTGGCTAGCCAGCATTTTTCACTGCTGATGGCAGGATTCCAACCAAAGGCACCTGTCCTTCCCAGTGACTTGCGTGACAAGTGGGTTGGGGCCAGAAAAAACAAGATCTTTTGTTATTTAACCATAAGCAAAGTAACAAATCAAGTAGCAGGGGTTCTGATCTGGGCCTGGTGATGAGGAGTGGTACTGTGGAAGCAGATCCTGTGACACGTGTGTGGGTGCTGTGGTGGGGAAGTCTCTGAATGCACAATGGGAGCAGGAAATGGCACTGGAGAGGGCATTCACCTCTGTGCCCAGCACTTCTGAGGGGGCACAGGACTGCAGCGTGCAGTTCTGGCATTAGATTTGGAAAATGATGCTAAAAACTGCTGAAATGTGGGTACTGAATAGCAAGGAAAGCCATACACAGGCTCAGTGGAGCTCTGGCCACAGGACCTGCAGCTGATCCCTAGTCCTCACCCAGCCTTTGTCCATGGGAGCTCCTGTGTCTGTCCAGGCAGCTCCAAAACAAAGAAATTCTCACTGCTCTTCATTCTGGGGAGAGCCTGAAGGGACAGGGGCTCCATCTTCCAGGTTTTGCATTGTTGGTTTTCATGGTAATGGAGTATTTTTCCTTGTTTCCATGCAGTACTAGGAAAAACCATTTCTCCGCTTCATTACCTTGGGTCTCTCAAGGATAAAAACAAGTACAACTTAAGTGAAATTGAAGTGTTGAAGATGCTAAAAGCAGTATGAGTCTTCCAATTTGAATAATGTTGTTAAAAAATAATTACTGCTGAGGTTGTGGTATCTCCCAGCTATATCAGACACATCCCCAAACTCTACTGCACTGTGGTCTGTTAAACCCTTAAGTGCACGTCTGTGTAAAGGCACTTGGGAACATTAATTCACAGTTACAGTTCATTCAAATGAATTTTTCTGAGGTTTCCTGTTTAGCAAAGCCTAAATTTATTACAAGAGGCCTGGCTAACAGCCCTGAAATGGAACTGATCACAAGAATATGCATTTCTAAGGCATTCCTTCTACAAGCCCTCACCACCAATGTTTTCCCTTGAACTACCAGCCCCTATATCCTGAAACTAATGCAGGTAAATCCCCAGTCCTTTACACATATTGAAAAACCTACTAAGTGAAAGGAATACCATAATAAATGATCAACATAAAAAGTAACTTTGGCTGTTTTCCAGAAGTGATACAACAAAATTTAAATCAATTTATTTCCCTGGACAAACTCTTATACACATCTCTGCAGCAGTTCTTCAACATATTTCTCTAGGTTTCATATCATTTCAGGAATGTCTTTTTGGAATAGTTTTCACAGAAACCACTGAAGGAAGGAGCTATTACCTGAATGAATAATAAGCAAAATATGCTGAGCAGATGGTGCAGACATCTAGGATCCAATTTCTCCTAGAATTGAAATGTGATCATTCATGCCTTTGCATTTTTTGTATGAGGATAACAAAAACATCCTTGGAAAACTGCCAGCTTTCCCTATAAGTTTTAAGCATTTTCCAAGCAAACCTTTAAGATTTTTTTGTTTTCCTTTGCCAAAAGAAAGCTGGTATTTTTCTTAGAGCTGTCGAAAATATTTTGATGTGGAGCTGCAGTACAGTTTTCATTTATAAAATTTCATTTTCAAGTTGAAAATTCTTGCAGTTTGTAGGATATTTGGAAGTTTCCAGTCAGATTATTTTTGGAAGAAGAGTAACATGAAAGAGCAATGATTTTCTTGCTGAAAATGAATAGAGATTGAGATCCAGCTTTTGATTCACAGTACAGTTTTAAGAAAGCCATTCTGGATTTCTGCCTATATTGTGACAGTAACTGAGATGTGTATATTATGTTAAGTCTACTTTATTTTATTTTTTCACTTAGGTGTTTTTTTTATTTCAATAACTGCCGCCTTTTTTTTCTTCTGTGCACTTTATTTGTTAAATTTTATCTCTGTCAGTATTTCATTATTCTTTTAAATCCCTTCCTTCTTCCCTTGTAATTTTAAACATTGTTAGATTTATTTAACTGTTTTCCTTCATTTTTCCCCTTGTCTTTATCCTCCTCCTTTCTTTCATTTCTTCTTCAATTTTTTTTTTCATAAGTTCCTGTTTTAAAAATTCTGCTCTCTGTATGCTTTTCTTCCCCAGTGGAAGAGAAACTGAAGAGACTGCTGCTGTCTGAGCGGGTTACACAGATATTTTGGGTGTGTGGCAGGGTTTTGGTTGTGGGGGTTCTCCAGAGGTGGCTTTTGTGAGAAGCTGCCAGAAGCTTCTCTCATGTGCAGGGAAGGTCCAAGAGAGATCCAGCACTGGCCAAGGCTATGAGGAAACAGGTAGAGAATTCAGGAGTAAAGTGAAGCCTGGGAAGAAGGGAGGGTGGGGAAAAGATGTTTTAAGGTTTAGTCTTTATTTTGCACTATTGACCCACAAGCTTTTTGTTGTATTTCCTCCCCCCTGTCCAGCTGGGGATGGGAAGGGATAAACCATTCCAGCACCTTTCCCTTGGGGAAGAGAGTGCTGAGGGATGGGAACTGTAGCATCAAAATGCAGGCTGCAGTTCAGCCTGTGCCAAACTAAGCCACTATCTCAGATAACAGATATTGAGCATTTGGTTCTTTCTTTTTTCCAAATGTTTTAATTTAATTGTGCACTTCACACAATTCCTGTACTGCAGCCTGTAGCTAGCAGAAGGAGGGGCTGGAATTTGAGGAAAAGCCAACCTGTGGACAGCAGGAAGGACTTGTCTGGCTGAGTGCTGGACAGGGCTCATGTTCATAGCTGCGTGTCTCAATGACCTCCTTTCTTCCTTCTGGGGGACACAATTCATGTTGCCATTTCCTTTCCTCCCTGACACAGCTTTGACAATGAGTTTTGCTTTGTAGGTGTGGAAATTATCCATCCAAACAGTACCTCTTGAAATACTCTGGAAAGTTTTGACAAATAGACAATTTTTCACCTGGTACTTAGCTCCTTCTGAGGCAGCCCTGAAACAGAATTAGTACTGTTCCCACAGTCATAAAGGTTGAAGAGAAAGCTTTTTTTTAAAATAGTCTAGAGCTTCCAAGCTTCCAGATCAGTCTTTTGAGGCTACAAACCTTAAAGTCAGCCCTGCCTCCTGCACAGGCAGACACACCTGTGGAATCTCTGAGACATGGCTCTGTTTTGTTGCAGGACTGGATGTTATAATCACCTTGTGCTGCTGAAATTCTTTGTGAGTTTCAACCTCTTCCAGCAAGTTGCTGTGAAATGCCCTTTTCAATACTTAACTTTGAAATTTGCAAAAATAGGCCAAAAATGTGTCCTGCTTTTTTAGTAAAATGCACGAAATGGACAGTTCACATGAGAAAAGCCATAAAAGAGCTTTTGTTTTAATACAAGAGGCAGTGTTTCT